ACACACACACACACACACACACACACACACACACACAATAATCAACAAACGTTCAGGGTCGGTTTTTTGCTCTTTTGGGCCTAAAAATATGATGATAAAAACCAGACGCTCCAGAACATAAGAGATGCCTTTGTGAGTCAAACATGAACATCACAGCACATTTACACTGATTGTGGAATCTCCCCAGCTCACAAAAATGTTCAGAGAACGTTTAAACTAAAACATCAATTTTCAAAAAGAAATCAATTGTTTCTTGATGATGTGAACCTTAAATGAACATTCCATTTGATCATTTAGGGGAGTGTTACATCTGAATGTTCTCTAAACGTTCTGAAGCACGTGTAACATTTAAAAACACCTTTAGACGAATATCCAGCTAAAACAAAAGTGTCATAAATAATGTTTTTGTGCTAACGTTTTGAGATCATTATTAAAGACCAGAGGACTTAACTAAATGAACGGTTGTTCATAACGTTACCAAAAACATTTTGTTTTCTTGTCCAAACGCATTTGGATTCTGGATTTCATTTGTTGAATGTTGTCACCATCTGGTGGATGCGCTGTGGAAATATAGAAATAACGTAGGCCTATGCATATAATAATAATAATAACAATAATAATAATAATAACAATAATGATAATAATAATAATAATGATAATGATAATGATTATAATAATAGACAAATACAGAGCAGGGAAGTGATTTAAAAAAAATGATTCAATAATAATCAATTTAATCCGCTACTGTCAGTTTTGGTAAACTATAATTACTATGTTTTGATTTGATGGGCATAGAAAAAACTAAAATCTTTGAATAGTCAAAAATCACGAATATTACGAAATTGTGTCAATAATAATTACTGATAAAATTTCATGTACGTCGTTTCGCAAGAATTTAAAAAAATATTAAATGTAATAATAATTAGTCTGTGCAAGCACCGGTCAAATATATATATATTGTTCTATCCTAACAAACCAGACATCAATGGAAGCTTATTTATTCAGCTTTCAGATGATGCATAAATCTCAATAAATAAATAAAAAAGGACCCTTATGAAAAATCCAGTAATATCAACAGTGGGCTGTGATTGGTCAATCCTGAAAAGCGTTGAGAAAAGTAACAGCTGCGTTCTGAACTCCACAACTGAAGACCTTTAGCGAAACATAATAAATAATTATTTTGATACATAATGTCTGATAAATGAGAGACAAGATTCGGGTCACTAAAAGCGCTCTCGAGTTTAATTCCACGCGTGTCGCCGGTAATTGTGTCCCTCCTGTAACAACAGACGTGTTGTGTTTCACTAATAAGTGTCCGCCCCCTTATTCTCGTCCCTGGTTGGTGAGAAACTAGTTCCGCCTCCGGTCGCCATGCATCGCTCCGCACGGAACCTGCAGCGCTTCAGCGCGGATCTGTCGAAGCTGTGGGCCGCGCAGAGATCCAGCATCCTCCGGTACATCTGCCCAGCGCCGGGGCTCCAGCTCAAGCCGCTCAGAATGGTAACATCTCGTTGTTTCTGCGGTGTTTAGTGCGCTGTTAGCCGGTGGATGACCTTCATGTTTAATAACGCTCTTCTGAAGCCCTCAGAAACCACACGCCTCTGAATTACTATCATTCATATATGCGTTTCATAACATTATGTGTGTGTATTTGCGCTTAAACACAGCTTGATTGTTTTTCTGAGGGGTGAAAGTGTGATTTACAGCGATTTAGAAACACGAGTATTAGTTTTTGAGCAGTCATAAGGGTGAATTTTGTGAAATTTAGATTTATGCATCATCTGAAAGCTGAATAAATAATCTTTGCATTGATGTATGGTTTGTTAGGATAGAACAATATTTGAAAATCTGGAATCTGAGGGTGCAAAAAAATCTAAATATTGAGAAAATCATCTTTAAAGTTGTTCAAATGAAGTTCTTAGCAATGCATATTACTAATCAAACATTAAGTTTTGATATATTTACGGTAGGAGATTTACAAAATATCTTCATGAAACATGATCTTTACTTATTATCCTAATGATTTTTGGCATAAAAGAGAAATGGATAATTTTGACCCATACAATGTATTGTTGGCTATTGCTACAAATATACCCCAGCGACTTAACACTGCTTTTGTGCTCCAGGGACACATATGTCAGATATGAATATGATGTATGTTTTGTGGTTTCAGGCCAGCTCAGAGTCGTTCAGGATCGAGAGCGACACGTTCGGGGAGCTCAGAGTCCCTTCTGATAAATATTATGGAGCTCAGACGGTCAGATCAACCATGAACTTCAAGATCGGAGGAGCCTCAGAGAGAATGCCAGTGAGAAACACACTTATTACTCTTATTAATGTCGGTTTATGATCTGTAACGGTGAGAATAATTCCTCTTCCTGTAGATTCAAGTCATCAAAGCCTTTGGGATCCTGAAGAAAGCTGCTGCAGACGTGAATAAAGATTACGGTTTGGACCCAAAGATCGCAGACGCCATCATAAAAGCTGCTGAAGAGGTGATTTCATCTCGTAACATCAATACAGGCACTTGTACTGTATAAAGTAAAACAAAAATTAACTTCCATTTACTAAATTTACTAAAAATTTGGTTACTTGAATTAAAATAAAAGTTAAATAAAATATGAAAAAAAAAAAAAATGTTCATTTAGTTTAATGATGCACTAAAATAACTAAAACTCAATCTGATATAAAAATAAACTACAGACGAAAAATAAAAATAATACAATTTACAAAAACACACAACATATTTACTAAAACTTTAAAGTTAAAATGATACAGGAAAATATTCAGCTTATTCAAAATATGAAAGCCTAAATAACAAATATTTTATCGGGAGTGTTTATGCTGGGATGTTGTGGATCTTAGATGTTACAGAACCATTTCATGTCAATTTCTTTGATGTGCTGAAAAAAAATCTATATAGATTACTTTTTTGTGGGCGGGAGTGGGACAAAATATGAATGTCGCGGGCGGGAGCGGGCCCAGATAAGATATTTTTCTGTGGGAGCGGGCAGGAGTGGGACAGAATCTTGTGGGAGCGGGACTGAAAAATCCGTCCCACACAGGTCTCTACTCCAGGGTTACATATGATGTGAGGAACAGAATCAAATTTGCTATTCGCATTTACATACATTAAAGTATTGATGGAGCGTCTAAATATCAGTGTTTCCATACCGATGTATTTTCCTCCAGGTCCAGTGACGGCATCAGGTTTGTATTTATTCTGCTTCCTCGTCCGCAGGTCTTCCGTTCGTCACGGCGGCTAATAAGTTCGAGGCTCTGGCGGCCCATGATGCACTGGTGGAACTGAGCGGCGCTCTGAACACCGTCTCCGTCAGCATGATGAAGATCGCCAACGACATCCGCTTCCTGGGATCCGGACCTCGCTCGGGTCTCGGAGAGCTGATCCTGCCTGAGAACGAGCCCGGCTCCAGCATCATGCCCGGTGAGTGACGCGCCCGCCGGCCAATCACAGCCTGAGCCTGTGTGATGCTGACCTCTGACCTTTAGCTCTGGACTTGTGTTTCTGGTCTATTTTTGGGGCTCTGATGTCCTCGACCTCTGAAAAATGCAATGCACGCAACTCACTCACACACACACACACTCTCACACACGCACATACTCACTTACTCACACACACACACTCAGTCTCTCACACACTCTCTCTCTCTCACACACACACACACACGCACGCACACACACTCGCACACACACTCGCACACACACACACACATTCGCACACGCACTCACACACACACAAACACACACACACACACACACACTCACGCACTTTCACACGCACACACACACACACATGCTCTCACACACTCACTCCCACTCTCACACACTCACTCCCACTCTCACACGCACACACATGCTCACACACACACATTCACACTCACACTCTCACACACACACACTTACATGCTCAGACACACACACACACTCACGCACACTCACACACACACACACACATTCACGCACACACACTCACTCTCACACACACACACTCACCCTCACACTCCGTTACATGCTCACACACACACACTACATTAAAGATCTGTTCAGTGCTTTAAAGTGACTGTAGAATCAGAAGTGTGTGTGTTTACTGCAGTACTTTATTCTCAGAAGCTGGAATCAGTCACACACTGTCCTGTGTGTGTGTGTGTGTGTGTGTGTGTGTGTGTGTGTCTCAGGGAAGGTGAACCCCACGCAGTGTGAGGCCATGACTATGGTAGCAGCTCAGGTGATGGGAAACCACGTGGCTGTTACTGTCGGAGGAAGCAACGGACACTTTGAGCTCAACGTGTTCAAGCCGATGATCGTGAGTCGCCTTTCCAACTTTCCATCTCGTGCAAAGTGACTTGCATTGCTTTGAAGATATACATTTAATCAGTTCATGCATTGATTCCCTGGGCAAAACAAGCACCAGAATGTTTTATTTATATATGTAACGAATTCCAGAAAGATTTTTGAATGATGAGACCAAATCTAAAGTTTGGAATCACTATTGATTTTTAAAATGTTTTTGAAAGAGTCTCTTGTGCTCAGCAAGGCTGTGTTTATTTGATCAAAAATACAGTAAAAACAGTGAAATATTATTACAATGTAAAACAGCTGTTTTCTATGTGAATATCTGTTAAACTGTAATGTATTTCTGTGATGCGCAGCTGTATTTTCAGCATCATTACTCCAGTCTTCAGTGTCACATGATCTTCAG